AGTAGTAGCAGTAGTAGTAGTAGTCGTCGTCGTCGTCGTCGTCGTAGTCGTAGTCGTAGTCGTAGCAGTCGTAGTGTAAGTGGTAGTAGTGGTAGTGGTAGTGGTAGTGGTGGTGGTGGTAGTCGTCGTAGTAGTAGTAGTAGTAGTAGTAGTAGTGGTAAGTAGTGCCCCGTGCAAACCCCTACCAGCAGAAGGCCATTGAGCCGAGCAGCCCGGAGTTTGTTTCGCTCCACATCCCTCGTTACATGCTCCTGGTGAAGCTCTTCGAAGCGTTTGGAGTTGCCGCTGCCTGCACCAATGAGCTACATTGCTCAGGGGCGTCGTGGCGCTCAAATTGTCGAGCCTCCTGTCGCAGTGCTGTTTAGTCTTATCATGTCCTGCTTCTAAAGCTCATTGGACTTTTTGCTAGCATCGCAAGGTGATGGCTCTCCTTTTTTCATATTTATGCAGTATTCACCACGAATGCCGCTGTTGCCATTGCCACTCTTGCCCCCACTGCTGCTACGACGAGTAGCACCACCGCTGTTGCTTGATTGCTTAAGTTTGCTCTTGGCGGTCTTTTGAGTTGTGCAGCTACGTCACTCTTGCAACTAAACTAGTCCTACTCCGGCCTCTGCTAATTTACTTGCTTCTTACTAGCTGTTGCTGCTGCTGAGCGGGAAAGAATCCCAGACTCCCGCACGCCTGAAAGTCGCACCCAACCCCCTAAACCTGCCGGGCTGCGACCATGGCCGACGACCTCAGCAACAGAGCTGAAGGGCTGAAAAGGCTATGAGGTCAGGGCTTTGTGCAAGTAATTGAGCTGAGGAAGGAGAGCAACCTCAGACACTCGGAACCCCAATGTTGCCTTGCGGTTCGTTTAACAAGAAACACTGGGATGTGCACATACACAGAAACACGAACCATGTTCTTTACAAGTCGTCATAGGGGCCATGCAAACATACGTGCGCGAAGCATAAGATGCTTAATAATGCACACTGGGTAAACTACATAAATATGATTAAATAAGTAGATAAGGACGAAACCAGCAAACACGCGCATGGCACAACAGCTACTATGCGGGATTTAACGGTGTCCTGCACATGGAATTCTCGATCTCCATGGCAGCAGCAACAATGCGGTTTCTTGCCGTTTGTCGCAGGGCCATCTCCGAGATGAATTTTGGACACACACACACACACGCAACGCGTGCTTCGCACTTTCAATACGACTCGCGAACAAGGGATAGCTAAATTCCATACGGTGGTCTTGTCGTTTGGCAGCTCTCTGCGGGCCCGGGAAGCTATCGCCAAAGGGCTTTCGTAAATAAGTTGTCCCTTGATGGATCACTTTGTGTCAGACTTCCAGCAGAGATAGGAAGTCAACGCAAGTCGCTAGAAACCATGTAGATCCCTGTCCCCTGTAAACCCAACCTCAAAACATGCATGTCCTCATGTTGAGATCTGCTTAGTGCAGTCCCAACGGCCGCTTTCTGAAACTTCAGGTGCTCTTCGGCCTCTTTGGCACGCCGGAGCTCACTCTGCTGCTTCATGTTGTCCATGGCCTGCTTCCAAGGGGCGTTGCCGAGCCGAGTTCTAGCTTGACGAATTGGACAAAGGCCCCGCACACCGTCGGTACATAGACCCCTTCAACCCGCTTCGGCCGGAGATTCAGAGAATACCGGCATTTCAAACTTTGGTTGTTGGGGGCTGGCATTGTTCTGCTCAAAGGGAATCCCGCCGTGGCATTCAGGGTAGCAGCATGCAGAATAGGTTCTGTACCATGATTCCAGATAATCCGACACCGAAAAGCAAACCAACGAGGACCTGGTGGTAGAGGCGATGCTGAGCCGTGAGTGACCCGGTGCTGCCTTGCAGAGCATTCATTCGCTTTGTTCACAGAGCCATTACTCATTAATGTAATTCCTCGTCTGCCAGCTAGCCCAAATAAGTTGCCAAGCCCAAACCGATAACCTTCGAACCCACCCCCAGACGGCAAGAAGACCTAGCCCGAGAGGCTAGCAGACTCGTGTTACTCGGGGCTAACCCGAGCCCGAAGGAAAGCGATAACACCGGAAGACATGATACATGGATCTATACTGCATCTATAGAATGAAGGGCTCACGGTCCAAAGTAGCCTTGGCGGCAGGTGTTCCTGCCAATGCCTGCGAGTGTTCATTGCATCGTCGTCGACTCATCGTAATAGACGGAACAAAGCCAGCAGGAACCTCAGTGCCTGTGAGCCAACCAAAGACGTCTTTTCTCGCGGCAAGCTTGCTGCAAAGTCATTGCGCTCTTTGAAGCGTGTTGTAGGATAAGTACTGCCTGACGAGATCGAGTTGCTGCTGCGCTTGGACGCCCCACGATCAGCCATCTCCTTCGCTTCCCTCACCTCATCCTGAAGATGCACTCAGGAGCTTCGATCGAGGCAGCAGGATGCCTACAGAGCCTCACCCGCGACATTAAAGGCGATAAAGGGAGACCCGCTCCAGCAAAACAGAACGATTTCGGATTAGGTGTGGGGCTTTTATAGGTTTGCAGGATTGAGAGGCTTTACGGCAGTATAGGAGCCTCATTGAGAACCTTGGGACTCTATCAGGGCTCTTTATATGGGTTTTGTAGGACCAGGGCTTCTTAATCTTGATGTTTTCGGACCAGGCAATGCCTATAGCCTATGACTAACTCGTGCTCACACATCCCATGCTTCTTCCGAGCCCTCCCTACTCCCGCTGCCAGATGGTCCTCGCTCTTCTTCTTGATCTTCCTGAGCCAGAGGGACCCAAACCACTTGATTGTTGATACATGCTAAGCCTGCTGAGCAAACCAGCTTGTGGCAAATACTCGCAGCAGTAAGTCGTGTTGTACAAGATTTTGGTGGAGGAATTTGTCTCGCGCAATCTCGCTTACGAGAATCTAGACACATATGAGTGACACGGGTTACTCGTTAAAAACAGCCTGCGGATTCCATCGCAGCCAATGCGCTCACGCAGCTGCATCTGCTTGCTGAGCGCGTGGTCGTGCAGCCGGTTCCCGGCGTTCACGGACGACACCATCTCGTTGGCAGCCTCAGCCACTCTGCCAACTGCTGTATGTCGTTAGCCTTTTATTTTCTACCATGCAGCATCAGTGTGAAGCCTTCGATATGTTGGACCCCTGGCTCAGGCTCGAAGTCACAGGGTTTGCGTGCAGTCTGCGCAAGGGCTACTGACTACATACCAGTCGTCTTCCTGACTACACGTTCGAGATGTATTTTGCACACACACATAGGACATGGGCCGCAGGAGGGGAGGAAGAAGGTGCAACTTGCGACTCCTTCACGAACATTGCTACCCAGCCGCTACGAATTGGCGAACCCACCGCACCGCTATAGCTACCAAGAGGCTTCAGAGTGAGACTTGCTGAAAAAGCGCTTGTTTTCCTGAGCGTCTCAAGTATGGACAGAGCCAAACTCGCTCAGTGTGGGAATCGCATATACATCCCGGCACATGCTAAAGGACCCCCACCCCTGAATCCTTACAAGCCCATAAACCGCCATGCCAAATCCATTCGAGGTAAGAGTGTACTCTAGGGTCCGATGTGGTTTGGGGGTTCAGGAGTCTGGAAGGGTGAATTCGCATCCTTTGCAAGCCTCCCCGCAAGACTGCAGGGGTTCTGATGCTCCGAAGCCGGTGCTCATTTTGGAGAAGCCGTCCGTTCTCGAGAAGGATCAGCGGTTGGCATCAGGTGAGGCATGGGATGGGTCTCAGGAAGGACAGAACACCACGGGCCAAGGGAACAACATGACTTGGGCTTGGGTCTTTGAGCTTTTGGACAAAAAAAAGCAGTCAACCTCAAAGGATTAAGTGTCTAGAACGGAGTGTTCTTTGGGTTTCTGAACTTCGAACCCCATCGCCCCGAATCCAGCTCCCTAGAAGCCCCGCACCTCCTTGGACCGTAGGATGACCTGCTCGTCCTCGTGGTAGGTGTTCAGCTGATGCTCACGACGCCGGCGCTGGCGAGCCTGCAATTTCCGGGCTGACACTGCCTAAATAAAACGAATGCTAGGAGCAATGTCTTGCAGGAAGGCCTACATGTTCCCTTTAATCTAGGATTCACACCAATGCATTTTCTTTTGCCAGTGCTCTTTACTGCTAGTCCGCATGCGCCTGGAATTCAACAGCCCCGCCGCAAGCCGTCCCTCAATCCAAGGCTCTTTCAATCTCCGATCCCGTAATGCATCCACGCCCATGACCCATGCATGCCTTGCTGTCCCGGTACAAGCCTTGGCAGACCGGGCTTGTCTTTTGCAACGTCGCAGCTCAACCCTACATCAGCCAGGAGCCCTCATGGGACTATACGTATTGTATGTACATACATGCATACATACATTTTGGCACATACATGCATACACACATATACACATATACACACTTGCATAATATGTATATATATATATATAGATACACACACACATATATATATATATGTATGTATGTGTCTGTGTGTGTAAATGTTTTTCTGGATGTGTAACATGATGGCTCTGTTCCTCTGCTGGCATGCGAGAAAGTGGCGCTCAGCCGCAGCACGGGGACAGAGATCCGCCTGCTTGACGCTTTTGCTCCTCAGTTCAAGACGGCTGCAAAGAGTGAAACGAAAGGACTGAAGCCCAGCACCAAGCAACAAGCAGCAGCTGAGCGGCAACTGTATCATCCGTGGCATGGCGGGAGGACTTAACAACTGCAATTTCATGACGCTCCAAGTATGTCATTGACACAAGGGGTACCCAGAGTATGACCGAAGGCAGATGGATACGGCCCCAACCGGACAGGTGAGGTTCGGCTGACGCACTCAGGGGCTTCGAGTTTCGCACAGGGCACGGCACTTCCCCAGCCTGGACTCAAGCTGAACCCTGAAAACCCCAAAACCCTCAAGCCTAAACCCTAGCCCAAAACACCCGAGGCGCCTGAGCTTCTGGGCCTCCTCTTGCAGTCGACTCGCATACCTTATGCTTCGGGTTCAGTCGGGTTCAACCGTGACACCAACACCATCACCGGCAAAAACACGCTTTTAGCCTCAAGCCCGAACCTGGGAGGGTTGGGGTTCGAGGTAGTGAAACAACATGTACACATGCGCCGTAGATGTACTAATAGTTACTAATTAATAACCCCCACAAGAGCCTTTTGAATCCTAAAGCGATTGGCACAGGCTTGCCGGCCAGAGACTCTTCTTGTTCTCGCAGCCGTCGATCCTCTAGCCGCTTTTGCTTGTCCTTGGCTTCGGAGCTTTTTCGAAAGAGTTGAGGATTTCTGGTCCTTTTAGCCAGGCTATTGGGCTTACGCTCTGAGTTCGGTCCAGCACGACCAGGTCCCTCGGTCCCAGTCGGTTATCAGTAGGGCCCTGGTCATACTGCTCTTGATTGCTTTCTCCTATCAATGAATCAGCTTGCTCCCAACAGCCAGCATGCTGAGCAGCATAATGCAGGCAGGAAGTGCACATTGCTACAATGCTCAAAGCCGCTGCAAACTCCCATCCTGAGAAACCTCAACCAAGTTCCCAGTCAGAGAGCCCGCAGAGGCCAACTTCTACAGCGAAGAGATTGGCTAGGGTCGAAAATACAAGTCCTATTCTACAGCTTCCGACCTCTCAGGACGGAGGACATGCAGGTCATCATCAGTTCTGAATACGGAACCGATGGGCATCTCAGCTCTCAACCAGAGCAACACGATGCAGGGCTTTGGGTGAACACGCTTACTGCAACAAAGACCTCTGAGCTGCACGTGAAGCCGACTTGACATGAAGAAGAAGGAAAACTGAAGGAAACAAACATGACGCGTCGGCATATACTGTTCCATGCAGCATCACACGATGCATAAACATGACCTCCACGTAGAAAGCTGCGTTAATCATATCCATAGCTTGGGCCGGGTGCAAGCCCACTCCCTCAACTATCCAAAACCACGGCACCCTAAACCCGAACTACTAAAGACCCCGATGTTTTAGCTCAGCCATCCATGCTCTGCGGCCCGAGGGACCGCATGAAGCTGGTGGAGGAGGTCCAAACGTTTCTGCGTCTCTTCCGGGTCCTGACATCAAGACAAGGAAAATCGTCGGAATATCTGGAAACGATACTAGCAACATGACCGCCATAGCAGCATGAGTCGACATGATGAATGAGCTGATGAACATCAGAATTCCATTTTTGCAGGAATAACGAAAATATTTGTACTGGCACTTCGGGAAGTCGCGATCATAGTGGAATTGCCGATGATCGATTGTTTACATCGATTTAAACACACTCTGGAAGGAGGAGAGTGCTGCACTGTCCCGCCGTCCAGGGCATGACACGTATCAATGGGCTATTCCCGACTCTGTGTCTGGAACTCTACCCTGATCTGTGACATATGCCATTTGCCGTTGCCTGTTGCCGTTCCCATGCCTGCTGCGGCCGCCAGCAGGCCGATTGGATGCAGGCGGCTTTCAGGTTGAGGCTCAGAAGATCGAAAGATGATCATCAACCCCAGCGACTGTCACTAGTAAGAGTATGTACCCGCAAAACTGGCTGATTAAACCTCAAAATGTCGTTTACCTTCAAGCACTGCAACTTCGAATCTCAATCTGCAGCACAGCCGTAAAGCCCTTACAGCAGATGATGTCAGACCCAATTCACACACGAGCAGCCATGCAGACTTGAGGCTAACACAAAGAACCACTCATCTCAGAAACCTAAATGAGAGAGAGAGTGTGTGTGTGTGTATGTATATGTATACTGTATACGTGATCCCTCAAGCCTTACGGAGGATGAAGAGGATGGGTTGTAGTGTTGCTGCTTTCAATTTTTATCACGACTAACAGACAGCAGCTTCGAGCAAACTCTCCCTTGCCGCTGTCCTTCTTCTGTCGGGGCGACCCGATGGATGCAATGTGTGAATCCGATCGGGCCAGGGACACCTCTTGCAGAAGCCCAAAGGTGAGAGGTGGGTTTGAGTCTGATTTCGAGTAAGGGAGAGATAGACTTATAATGAAACTGGTGAAAGGGGTAATACTACACATATGGTAATGGTGCATAGTAGTACATTCGCTACGTAGTAGTACGTAGCAGCAGTTGTTGCAGCAGCAGCAGGAGGAAGAGGAGGAGGAGGAGCAGGAGCAGGAGTAGTAGCAGCAGCAGCAGCAGCAGCAGCAGTAGTAGCAGCAGCAGCAGTAGCCATACGTACTGACTGTGGCACAAAAGAGTAGCAGCTTGTCATACAGATTGTATCAGTTCGGATCATGCCCCAGTCGGATTGGCCTTGAGGTTTGTCCGGGGCAAACAAGGGTCTGTAGCTGTCGTCTCCCGAGCTCAACACCGAATTTACTCAGGCCTCTGCCCCTTGAAGCAAAACTCCAACTTCTTCCAACCCTCTTTGGGTTTTATGAAAACCCTCTTTGGGTTTTTTGTATAAAACCCTCTTTTCAAGGACAGCGGTGGCCTGGGAGGCCTGCTTCCGCAAGGCTCCAATCTCAGGAGATTTCCTTGGGATCCCGGGTTCTGGGGCTTCATAGCGTTTAGGGTTTCCAGGTGCTAAGACGGCAAATTGAGGGAGATATGGAGAGGCAGAGAAGGCGCTGTCCTATCGCATCGAACTCGCTATGGCGCCTCACAGAACATGTTCCCCGAAGCTCCAAGATCCTTTCATGATCCCTTGTTGAAGAGTATAGCGGTTCTCCATGGGCCAAGCCGCAGCTTCACTCGCAAGCGGACAGTCGCCCCAGTCGACTCACCTCTCCGGGTCCGAACTCAAGCTTCTACGGACGTCATCGAAATTCGCAACATTGGGCTGTTCCAAGAGTAATCCCTCAAGATAGGCTTGTTTTAGTCACCGACCTACACATTTCAGTCGCTGCCGCGATGCAGGGGCAGTTTTGGAAAAAAATGGGTGGAGTGCGCGGTTACACGCTCACTACTCGGACAAGCCAGGCGAGGATCCATAGGTGCAAGTCGCTGTGACACAAGCTACAGGCTACCCATGGAGTGCGCAGTTCGGGTCAGGACTTCTGGTCCAGCAGTCAGGCTAAACTATATCATCTGGTTTTTATGCTACAACTATGAGGTATATTGGACTCAACAGACTGCAACAAGGGATGCGCGCACCTCATCAGAGCATAACTCAAGTCCCGTCCTGCCTTCCTTGAGCAGTGGAAGAATATGAACTTCCTGAATCATTCGGTCAAGAAGAAAGGGCAAGTGACTTGGAGAAGCTTTCAAGCATATCTGCTTTGAATTGCTGCTGGCACGCCCTGGTTGATTCTGGATACCCAGCTTTCATCACCACATGCCCGTGACAGCCCTCTGTGATTGCAGAACGCTCTCGTCAAACTGAAATCCTGCGAGATGTGTGATGCATCGGATCCCCGAGACCCCAAACCCCTACACGAATTCTTCCCAGCTGCGTGATGCTTCGGATCCTGGACGTCTATTTCGCATGTTCCGACCAGTTCCTCCTCACTGCCCGAGCCATGCCTCCCAATGATGCCTGGTCCGGTTCAGCTCAGACACAAAAAAACATAGGCGCCTCAAATTAGAACAAGGTCTGTGGGTATACTGCAGTAGTATGAATAAGGACTAAGGGGGTCTAGTGCCAGTTACTAGTTATTCAGGCCACGACACCCCTCTCGTCCCAAAGCTCGCACCCCGAAACCTGTCTAGTAATTTTACCTAGCTGACACCCATTCAAGGAGATGTACATCGAAACCCGTAAGGCAGGCTGCAAACCTCGCACGGAAAATCGCCATCCGCGGCCCGAGCCAAGCGCAAAGGCATCTGAAGCCCTCCCCCCATGCCCAGGGACAAGTCGCTAAGAACGGCGACGTTGGTATCCTTCTTCCCGATGAGCTTGAGCTGCTGCCTGTTCTGACTTTGCTTCAGACTTGGCTGAAGCCTGATTGAAACTTGAAGTGCCCCCAACCCTTTTTCTCGAAACCCGACACAGCCACGACGATTTGCCTCCCCGCAAAGCCCGAAGCCCAAAGCGACCGAAGTGTCAGAGCGCCTGATCGGACAGTCTTCGGCTGCGGGTCCGCTCATGCTTCCAGGCCGCGCATCCGTCTTGGGCCCTTTGCCTCAAGCCGGGAACCCTCAAGCAGACCAGAAATCTCTCCCAAACCCTCCTCAAAATCCATCTTCTACAGTAAGACCTTTCGGTCGAAAACCTTGACCGCACCCTGCGGCGTCACCCTGATGCGGGTAGGGGCAGCTTTTGAAGGCATCTTAGCGACCACTTGGAAACTCTTGCAAAGTTGTGCCATGTGGGATTGCTATTGCATGTCCGCAAGCGGGCACGTCATACGACCTACGACGACAGCGCAGCTGGAACAACCTGAACGGCTCAAACAAGGACAACAGAAACTCTACCGAGGGATACAGGATGTCTTGTAGAAGTTTAGCGTGTTCCGTACTTCATAATACCAGCCTCACAGGGAACCCATGCGTAGAACACATCGACCGTTTTGGTTTTGCCAGACCAGGGGCCATCCTCACCTTTCCATCGGGCGCGAGCGACGTACATCCCTTCGGTGGCGTTCATGCTCGAGATGTGCATGACCGTATCCTGAGATGTTCGGCGCTTTCCTTTTCGGGGCAGGGCTCGCGGATTCTAAAAAACCGCCGCTGCAATAACCCAAAGCCGAAGAGAAGGATGCTATGCATCCGAGAGACGACCTGGAGCATTGCATTGTCCAAGATCTCTTCCACCTCATGTAGGGGCCCAAAATATTCCGAAATAACTACCAATGCCATTTTGGGGGGCTTCCTTGCTATAACTGCAGTATATGGGGCCCCCAAAACCCTAATTATTCTAAGTATGAAGGCCCCTATATTATTGTTATTATTACTATGAATATGATTATGATTATTATTACTACTACCATGCACCTGGGAGGGCTTCTTGTGTAGCCGCCTCTCTGAGGTTCATCACAGGCTTGACACTCGTGGTTCCGAGGCTCTTTGGTTTCGGTTTAGGGCAGTTTAGGGTTTAGGGCAGCAGTATACCGTTGACCCGACTTCCCCAGGGCCATCGCAGAGGGCACTTAGCGCCTGACTCCGAAACCGCAGAAAAAGGGCAGCCGGAGCCCGACACCTGAAGCTCTGAAGCCCGAAGTCTTCATCCGAAACCCACCTCCTCCTCAACCAGGACGTCTTCACCTCGAGCTGCCTTCTTCATGGCTCGGTCCAGTTCCTGCGGGCTTTGTCTTTCGGGTGTTTTTGGCTCCCGACAGGTCTTCCGGGTGTTTGGGTTCTGCTTGCTGTTTGCTAAGGTTTTGGAGTTCAAAAGCTGAGTTGGTACCTTCCGTAACCAAATAGCTTCCAAACCTCTTCTCTGCACACCCGTCCTTGGTAGAAATCAACTCGTCAGCTCCGCCGACCACACGAATGAGTTCTTTGAACTCATCGTTGCTGCAAGTGAACCTCGGTCGGTGTAATTAACAATGAGGAACCCTACGGAAGAATCTTGGTAATTATTCCGACTTTTACAGTGGCTGTTCAAGTTGCGTTTCCGTCGTGCGCTCCGAAGCTGGACTGTGTGATGCATCTAGGACATTGAGACTTTCCCGGAGATGCATAGCTTCTTTAGGGAGGCCTACAAGTAGAAGGGATCACCAGTCGAATCCAATTATTCTAAACCCTCACTGTCCCTGAACTCTAAGCCCGAACTGTTCCCTGAAGAAAAGGAGACGGGGCTCTCTAGAAGTCCCCTAGACACGACAATCTTTGGTTGGACAGGATTCCCATATTACGACTCGTGCTGGCAACTTACGACCCACGCATGGAGCAACAACGTGAAAGTCCCACTAGTGCATCGATGCAACAGTCAAAAACCCGGAGCTGCGCGACAACCGAAAATCCAAACTCTTGTCGGTGATTCAAGTCGGCGTGTGACAGAGTTTGGTTTAAAACTGTCCTACATCGCGTTTTTTATCATGCACATAACAACAACATCACGACAACACTGATTGAAAACATCATGTTCGCGATGTAAGAACTATTGTTAGCATCCGGAGCACTCATGTAGCACATGAATCGTTGTCACTGAAGTGTGACTCGTGCTGAGGAACTATGACAAACTGTTGTTGTTGTTGTCGCTGTTGCTGTTGCATGTGCTGTTCCTGCTGCTGGTGCTTCGCTGTGTGCACGCTACTAGTGTTTTGGCCGTGGCCGTGGACGTGTCCGTGACCGTGGGGTTGGTGTTGTTGGCGTTGTTGCTGCTGCTGCTGTGGTTGCTGCGGTTGTTGTGGTCTGTTCGTTTGTCGTCGCCGCCGCCGCCTCAGTCACAACAGTCATTTTATCCGCTGTGTGCCGCATGTCCAACTCGACATCTCCCATATTTCTGTCATGCAACGCCGAACAAGAATTAATTCTAAACTTTGACTCCGAATGAGCTGAAAGCTCCAGGGTGCGTATCAGCAGAAATACTATGTACTTACAGCAGCCTGTCGTGGTGGCACACTGATAAATCATGACCCAAAAATGCCCAATACCATAATCATGCAACATTCCTAAAACACGTAGGCTCCCTCTAAATTTGTCTATACTGCTTTGACGCAGGGATGCATAGGCCACGTCTCGGGACAAGTAGCCCGAGATGTTGCTCCAACCCACGGCGGAACTCCGTTTTGTTGACCAGACCCTCTGGGTGAGTGCTCCTTGGGCTGTGCAGGGCTCAATGCTTTGCATGCACGATCAATCTTGCGGACTCATGTGAGGTTGGGAAATCTCAGCACTCGGCGCCGGCGCTTGACGATTCGGTTTTCAACCCTTGTCAGGCTTCATAGCGTAGCTCAACAACTGTTCTGCTCGGCTCTTCCTTTTGGCTTTATGATTGCTACTTGCTCGCAGAGTGGCAAACATCAATAGTACCTCTGCCGCAGATATTAGTTCTCTGATCTTTAACTTCCTGCTTGTGCTACACACTGTCATGATTGAAATTGATACAGTATTCTTGAATATGTATATGGAAAGATAACATATCACACCGACCGACCCATACATACATACCTACTGAAGCTTACTTACTTGTGTGCTTTGACGAAACAGCAGGGTTTACGCATGAACAATGTCCAGCACAACACGCCGTTAATGGAGTGTGTGTGTGTGTGAGTATACCCACTTGTTCATATACTATATGTAGACTTGCAAGTTCATTCATTCATACATATATATATAAATATATGTGTGTGTATACATGCATGTGTAGCGATGAAGGTACAAACAAAAACATAAAATACGATACACGAGCAATAAATTTACACACACATATATATATATATAACGACCAAACATATATACATATATACATATATAGATATGTATGTATGTATGTATGTATGTATGTGTGTATGTGTGTGATATGTACCTCTCTATATATATATATAATTTCGGTATATATATATACATACATACATATATACATACATACATACACAGAGAGAAAGAGAGAGAGAGAGAGAGATATATATATATATACCCGAGGCTCACCATCTGCCGCATGAAGTCCACGGTTCGTAGCTTACCTGGGTCGTCCGCTTTTCCGAGCCCCCGGGATTTTTTCACAACCCTGGTGGGGCTGAGACCCTCGCATCCAGGGGTCTAGGACGATTCAGGGGTAGAGAGGTTTAGGGAACCGCGGGTCGCAGATAGAAAAAGCTCTAGGCTTAGACAGTTTCAGTGCAAAGACCAGCTGTTGGACGAAGTTGTAAGTTGGGTGCAATAGGTTGATTGGGATTCGGGGAGCTGGCTGGTGTGAAGTGGGGACGGATAGGCCAAAGAAAATCTTGATCGGCTTAGAACCAGGACCAGCCTCAAACCACGAGGGCTACAAATCCTCAAAGGCTCCACTTCGAGAGTCCGAGAGGATCTTTCGCCCTATTCCTCGCCAGGGAACGGTGATCCAGCTGGTAGAAAATAGTGAGGAGTGCCTGCGTCGCCCGAGACATGCTCGAGGCCAGCTTGGGATCCTTGGCAGCGAATGAGCGTGATAAGTATACTTATGGAATTAGTCGGTTGTGTAGGCGAGAAAAGCGTCGGGAAGATCCAATCCATAAAGTGAGTTCTCCGGCTAAAATCAACAGGATGTTCGAATGCATCCGAATGTGTCGGACGTACCGTTCCTGTTTATTCACATCCTCCGAGCCCGCATGCAAGACGATGATTGCTCTTGTTAAGGTATGATGCCTTCAACGACGACCACGACAGCCACGGGACTCGTCCTCCTGCGGAGGCGGCTACGACTACTGCTATACTGCTAGTGCTACAGCTACCGGTCCTCCTGCTCCTCTCCTACAACTGCTGCCACTGCCACGGCCACGGCCGCTCCCACTCGTGCTCTTACACCTCCTACTACTCCTCCTCCTCCTGCTATACTTGATGCGAGTATTATGCTTTACGTATTATCCGCATGATTATGAGGAGTCTTGAGGTACACTGTCAAATCGGATAACGAAGAGTGGCCAGAACGGGATGCTCCCTGAACAGAAGCTGATCAGCCACGCTGCCACGTGCTCCCCAGGCTTCTGTACAGCAAAACTTTTCCTCGTGCGAGGAGAAGCTGGAGACTTCCTGAGATAAGGGTAGTTCTGTAAATTAGGGTCCCTTGTTGGTTCCCCCAAATAACCCGGCAGCCTTCTAAAAAGGACCCTAGAACTAGAAGGGAACCAAATTTAGCGAACTACTCGTACGAACTTCACGAGAAACTCGACTGGGTAAACTGCAGAGTTTCAGGCCCAAACTTCTGTCCACGCCTCAATTTGATCATTATTTCGGATCATCGTTGCGCCTGTTGCCGGTCATATCGTCGCTTTACCGTGACTTCTCTTGTCATCATGGCGTTCTTGGGTGCAACTAGAATCTGTAACCTGGGATCCTGCTTCTAGAACTTCGGTTTTTGCCGGAACGATTACATACCAAGTAGACAGCTGCTAGGGTTTAGGGGACAGCTTCTGACTCCTGCTAAGCTCTTGGATTTGAATTGCGTCCATCCTGCTCTTGGATTCGGGCTTCAAGTAACATGATACTGATGATGTTGCTGATGGATGATGACGACGCCAGTGGTTCTTCCTGCATACACACCCCA